AAGACAAGAAAGAGATATAAAAAATAATAGAAAGAAAGACACATGATAGGGCAAACGAGCATTCCTTTATGTGCTGTAAACCACATTTCACCACATTGTACGGTGCCACGTCAAGACAGAGGTGGTGTGCATCCTATCACCTCATCGCAACCATGTGGCGTTGCAAAATATAATGAATGGCCTAAACAATAAAGTGTGAGGCATAAATGACAATTTGTGTGTGTATCATGTATATCTGTCAAACACAAATTTACACGATACGCACGGATAAACACATTTTTACCGTGTTATACGAAAACACAGAAATCATTACATTATGCGGATTTAATTCATGTATATATGTTGTGTCGTGTGTTTATACATGTTTATATGTGTCGCTTGTTCATATTTAAACAAGTAAACTGGTTTAACACGTGTAAGACACGAAACACGAATTTAAAATTCATGTCCACACAATTAGACACAAAACATGAATTTCCAAAACTCATACACGAAAAACTTGTGTTGTGTATCAAATTGTGGCCACACCCATTGGCTTGAATATATATATATATATATATATATATATATATATATATATAGGGTTAAGTTCATGTTAGACGATCTATTTTTTGAGACCGTGAGACGTATTTTTTTTATTTTTTTTAGTTAATTCAAGTTCCGAAAATAATATTTAAAAAAAAAAATATTTGGATTTTACCATTTATTTTACATTTTAAAATTATTATTTAGAATATGTACAGTGTAATATTCTATTAGAATATTTCACGTATTTTTCAAAAAAAAAAAGATTTTTTTTTGAATTATTTTTATTTTATTTAGTTAATTCAAGTTCTGAAAATAATATTTAAAAAAAGAATTTTTAGATTTTTCCATTTATTTCGCATTTTAAAATTATTTTTTAGAATATGTCAGTGTAATATTCTATTACAATATTTCACGTATTTTTTAAAAAAAAATGAGATTTTTTTTAGTTAATTGAAGTTCCGAAAATAATATTTAAAAAAAAAAAAGAATTTTTGGATTTTTCTATTTATTTTGCATTTTAAAATTATTTTTAGATTTGGTCTCACGATCCCACAAAAAATTAGAATGGTATCAAATAAACCTGAACCTATATATATATATATATATATATATATATATATATATATATATATATATATATATATATATATATATATATACACTAATAAAAGAATAACTATTTTGTTATGTGTCATCATATTAGACATTTTAATTAATGTGTTGCCACTTGTCAATTTATTAGTTTTTCATTTTAAATTTATTAGACCTCATCATTGATATGATTCTATTTTAAATTTTAAATTTTAAATTTTAAATTTTAAATTATTGTTTTCATTAATTCACAGATAAAAAATATCTAATATATATCAAAAATTAATTTTATATATTTATTTGAATCAGTGTTTATAATTTCACATAACTAATAAAAATATCTCATAAATTAATAATTTATTTAAAATAACTTATTAATAATTTTAAGTTTTTACTATAAAAGTTTGATTAATTTTATAACCGTGGTTCCCACGGGTTATAAACTAGTGTGTGTGTGTGTGTGTGTGTGTATATATATATATATATATATATATATATATATATATATATATATATGAGAAAAGTGAATATACCCTTAAGGGTATATAAGGATAGGTACTCTAACCCATCATAATACATCATTTTGTTTGATATATATTATAATGTTCTTAAACTTCAACCCTAACTTGATTTACTTTCAAGATTTTCGAAATTTCACTATTATCTTTCTCTTACATCACATCTTTATGTCGGACACCTAGTAGGCTTTATATATTATGGTTGAAAATTAAAATTATGTAAGAGGAAGATAAGTATAAAATTTATATAAATCTTGGAATTAAATCAAGTTAAAAGTTGAATTAGAAGAACATTGGACAATTAAATATATATATATGATACAAAACGAAGTAATATTGTGAGTTTGGGTACCTAAGCTTATATACCCTTAAGGGTATATTCACTTTTCCATATATATATATGATTATATTGGTTAGAGTATTGTATAATATCTTTACACATGTAACCGTATTTTAAAGATAGTAAGTATATATATATATATATATATATATATATATATATATATATATATATATATATATATATATATATATATATATATATATATATATAGTGATTATATTGGTAAGAGTATTGTATAATATCTTTACACATGTAACAGTATTTTAAAGATAGTAAGTATTTTTTTCATCTCGAAAATCAAACATTAATAACACCAACATTAAATTTTGCAATAAATACCTACAACTTTTACATCCCTATAAATATACCCAAAACTTACTTTCCCATGGCATCAGACAAGCTTTAATCTACAAAATAGTCTAACATTTTGGGGCAACCTGAGAATACGAACACAAAAACGATCAAAAATGGCTAAACTAAAGTCAATCTTGCTTCTGCTTATGGCAATGGTGGTTGCATCAATGGAGTTCCATCAATCGGCGGCAAGAGAGCATGTCGTCGGCGATTCCTTCGGGTGGATCGTGCCACCAAATGATGACTTCTACATTATTTGGTCGCTGCACAATGTCTTCACATTCAATGACGCGCTTATCTTTAATTTCGCCAACGGATCTCATACTGTTGCAGAAGTGACGAAGGAGGCGTATCAGAACTGCGACGCCGGAAACCCCATCTCGCTCCATACCACCAGCCCCGCTAGATTCACCATAAACAGCCTTGGCAACCATTTTTACATCTGCACTATAGGCCCACATTGCAATTCCCATCAGAAATTAGCGATTAGGGTTACCCCCACAGCTAACAACTCGTCTGCATTGTTGCCGCATTGATTTTATATGTGTTATTGAATTAATACGAGGAAGTTCTACTTCAACAATTATACATTTTCATATCGTTGTTACTAGGCGTTGATGATGGATACAATAAAAATATGGATAAAATATGATTCTCTAATGGTGGTGAAGTTAAGAAGAAGATGGCTCCTGTATCATTTTTAATAATTATAATTAATTAAATTAAATGAAAAATACAGTGGCTAAATTTGTCATTTTAATCTCAATATAATCAAAACCAGAATAAAGCTCTGTTTTTTGCAAAACCAGACACAGCCAAAGAAAATTTATCATTTTATATCAATAAATTTCTAAAATGTGACCCTAGCTACACTCCTAGATTTTATGAGGTTTTTCATTTAAAATAGTAAATTGAAAAAAATTTATCCTCTCTTTTTTTCACTTCTAAAACCACCGAATATGTCTCACGACCTTCAATAATACAACACAGATAAATATATATATTTGAATTTTGAAGCAGTCTTTCATAGAGGAGAAAAACTCCCAAAAAAAATCGAAATCTTGTTATCTTACCATTAATCATGCCAGAAGGAACGCTTGAAGTTCTTGTTGTAAGCGCCAAAGGCCTGGAGAACGCGGATGTCCTATGTAAGCCCTTTCAAATAACAGATTAATTTAAATTTGCATGTTAATTTATAGGGATCGTTTAATTATAAAAGAAGAGTATATATAAGTTGATTAATTTGTTGCAGGCAACATGGACCCATATGTTATTATAACGTACAGGAGTCAGGAAAAGAAAAGCAATGTTGCATCAGGCACGTATTTTTTTTTTATAGGTTTTTGTGATATACCAGAACGAATGTTTAAAATATATATAAAAAACATACATATATGTTAATAATATGTAGGTAAAGGATCTAACCCTGAATGGAACGAGACATTTTTGTTTGATGTTTCGAGTAAAGAGACAGCGGATTTAAAGATCAAAATAATGGATAGCGATACCGGTAATGCAGATGATCTTGTTGGCCATGCTAGGTAAGTTGCATATATTCTTTCATTTATTTACATATTAGATGTGAGATTCATGTATTACACGAGTTGATTTTAAAAAAAGATTAAACATTAAATTAAAATAAACAGAAAATATTTTTTAATGTATAAGTTTAAAATAAGAAATGAAAAAATGTATTTATTGCAATTTAATATCATATATATGATATTTAATACTTTACATATATAGATATTATTTTAATTATTAAAAAAAAAATCAAAAATTGACAAGTGGAAAATATTTATTTTAAAAATACCATAAAATGACAAGTATCAAAACTCATGAGATATTAACATATGACAAAAAAAACATAATAATAATAATAACAATTATAAAATTTAAAGTTTGGGTTTTCTGCACACTCCTAGGGGTTTGAGGTCGAGTGCAAGGCCCTATTCTATTTTTTTGGGCAAATTTTTGTTAGTTCTGCCTTAGTTCAATGAATGTTAAAGGCATGTTATGTCTTGTGTTACAAATTGGGCATGAAAAACCGGATTGAATGTGTGATGTTGTGAACTTGTTTAGTATCTCGTTGGATGCCTTGTTTCATGATGGAGACATCCCAGCAAAATCATATAATGTAATGAAGGACGATGCATACTGTGGAGAGATTAGAGTTGGCCTTAACTTTACAGCCCAGGTTCATGTTGTTCTTTACTTGCAGATATTGTAGCATTCACATGAGCAAATAATGAACCATTTTTTTTTTTTTTAATGTTTCAGAGAAGTCGAGGTTTTGATCCAACAGATGGGAATATGGGTGGTTGGAAGCAATCAAGCCATGATTGATCATGCAGAAAATTGTGATTGTGGTTGTGATCTTCCGTCAGAAATGTAATTTGTTTCATTAATTCAATGTTAAAAACCATATGTAAGTATATAAAGGTACAATACAAAAACCATCATGTAAGACATTTTGCTCTTGAATTTTATGCAACTTGTATATTACTATGTTAAAGACAAGTCTATACAGCCTATTGACTAAAACCAATGACACAAAAATTGCACCCATCTAAATGATAAAAAGGGTATTCATGTATTATGTATTTTGCTCAAATAAGAAATTGCCGCATTTTGCTTTGAGTGGGATTTAAAAAATAGCATTTTTTCCATTTCCAATTTTGTAAGTCCAATGCCAAACCTAGTATAAGACAGTCATGCTCTGTCATGTCATGTTAAAGTCTATTATTAACGGACATTAGCTTTCAAATTACATCCTAAATTGCTAATCACATTACAATCAAAAGGTCAAAAAGATAAATACAAGTTATCACACAATGAATTGTAAATTACAAGATCACTAATAAATAACAATTCAACGTAAACGAATAAAGAGATGCAAGTCAAGAACAAACGAGCAAGACATACATAAACAACTTTATTATGCACCTTTCCAAAGGGTAAATCCGTCTTTTTTACTCGGAGTGGTCAATCCGAGCTCTTTACGTTGTTCTTCATTCGGGACAGGGCTCACGAACCCGGTCCCTACAAAATGCATAAAAGCAGACGCGTCTTCAAGATTCCTATTAAAACTCAATGATGATGTCATAAAACTGGTTTTGGAATCTGATTTTTTGGGTTTCTTTTCGGGCGCCATGTTTAGCTCTGCACAATTCAGAAATCTTGTGGTTGCAGCATCCCACGAGAGCTCATGCATTTGTGAATCGGTCAGTGGGGCAGGTTGTTCGGTCAGCGCCTGGCGTGTCACTTTGACGAAACTGTCCCCGTCCTTGAAGGTTCGGCAATTGGGAAACTGCTTGAAGAATTCGTTCGAGACGTGATCTGCGCAAATGACGATTTTGCCCATGGCCAATGCTTCTGCTGTTGTTGTGCAGACCACGTCGGTTGTGCTTGGGTTCATGAACACTTTGTAACTGTCATAGCAGTCAGATTCAATAATTTAAAGAAACAAAATCAAAAAGGGTAAAATGGTCATTTTACTTACTCGTGAAACAAAGGGTCTGCATGATCACGTCCGGGATTAACCCTAATGGTTAAATTCAATTTCTCAGCAGCTTGTTGAATCTGAACAGAGTCTTCGCCCGTGCCAAATAAATCAACTTCAAGTCCATCAAGTTCCTTTTGATGATCACCAAGAAGCTCAAGCAGCTCCTTGTAGCCTTTACTCCACACCATTTTCCCAATAAAATATGCACCTTTTGAAAACGCCTGGTTTCCAAGTTTCTGTTCTTCTCTCTTTTTCATCCCAATTTCAAGAAACTTAGGGTTAACACCATGAACATTGCAGATAATTGATCTTGGGAGATCCTGTGTAGCACCAGATAACCGTATCACCTGCCACAAAGATTTTTGATATGTCATCAAGAAACAGTCATTGTATACATAAAGGTTTGTTTCTTTTCTTCCAACAAACAATTTTCATAATATTCATCAACGTTAATGTGAGATCTATGCAAGAACGTGAGAAACTATGTTTTTCCAGTAGTAAATTACCTTGTGACAATATATATCGACCACCCATCTATTCATGTATTTGAGAAGAAATGCATAGGCACGTCCATTTTTCTCTCTTTTGACATACTCCAAATAATTTGTGTGAACAATTCCTATAACAAGGCGGAATTTAATCTTCCATCTTTTACCATGGTGATACCATGTCAAATGCTCGGGTTCCTCAAGAACAGCAATATCTGATTCTGAATCCGGAATGCTCTCTGTTATGTCCCCAAGAGCAAGGATGCTTCTTTTACTTCTAGAAAACTTCAAAAATCAATAAGTATTTACTCAAATTAGTTTCAAATTTTAGAGCAAACTCCAAACATGGTACCCTGAGGTTTGCAATTTTCTTTGGTTTTGGTCCAAAAAGGAATCGTTTTAATAAATAGTCCTTCTTGACAGCTTTCATACTGGTTTCGGTTTTGGTCCTTGGGGTTAACACCGTTAATTATGATCCATCAAGTATGTACAAAATGACTATTTTACCCTTCCTGTCATTTTTACAAGGATTTAACCGACTTAAACTAACAGTGTTGTTAAAGTCAGGTACCAAAACCAGAACAAAACATGCTACTAAGGACCATTTTTGAATATATATATATTATACATTTTTGGACTAAAACCAATCAGAATTGCAAACCAAAGGGGCTATTTTTTAATTTTCATGGAAAAAAAAAACTCTTTGCACAATTTACCTTCCCAGGATAAAAACGTATATCAAAAGTACACAAAAGATCGGTCCTTTTTTCAATCCATTCACGGACATATTTCTCTTGTTCTTTGGGTGTATCAAAAGTTATCTTGTCAGGGTATAGATATTCTTGATCATTCTTAGATAGCCATGGAATGACCAAAGTAACCTTTCTGTGTCCATCTTTTGCAAGATATGCAGCACGGAATAGAGGATTAACAGACGTTCCAGTCATCCATGGAAGGCTTGCTGTGGTAAATATAGCGATATGCTCTTTTTTATCCATGTATATTCATTGACTTTATATACTATCAATAGGTTTTAGGTTCTAGATGTTGTATATGGGATTGTAGAACACGTCCAAAACTGATAAATTGCTTATTTTAACTGCATCACAGAGTAACAATCAAACAAAAACATTTATAACTTTTTGCAGCATATTCCAAAGTCCACATACAGACACAAATTTCAAAAATACTTACAGATAAGCTGGAATCATGAACAATTGTCTCACTTTACAGACATCAAATTTCAAAAGTAGGGAGAAAGTTATCGTGCTTGTATGTAACAAATGATGTGATCAAAAAACTTGTACAAATCAGTCGACATGAATTGGAAATAAAGTATAAAGAACCGGCTTTTTTCATCAGAATAACTCCTTTTGACTTAACATTTGATGGCATCAATAAATCTGATTAAAAACAGCAGTGTAAATAATAGCACTTACAAAGAAGCCTGTAACTTTTCATGTCTACACAACAATTAATCTCAAAAACTTCTAATAAGAGACTAAAGATAAAATAACAAAGTATTCTGGTTATCTCCTTTTACAGAACTGAAGCTAAAGTTTAATAATAAGCATGAGGGGAACAAATTCAGGATTTATGGATCATATGGAAAACCCTAAAAACCCTTCGTTTTTGCATCATATAAACATTCGAAAACACAGAATCAACTTGAAGTTTACTTATGTTTAAGCCGGAATCATAAACAATAGTCCTGATTTAAGAGCATAGAATTCCAAAATTAAAATAGGAGAAAATTTATCAGTCTGCAACAAATTGCGATAAAATATTCGAACAAATGACTCCATATGCAAATTAAAATAACGTTTTTATGCTTCAGAAAAAACTCGTTCTTGCCTTTGTTTTAATGATGAACTAACATATGAGGGCACGAATAAGCAATCAACCATATAAATAAAATGGAATCAAGAACAGCAGAGTAAATGAAATTAAATCGGAAAAGAAGATCCAATCATGAAAGAAACGGTGTGTTACAAGTGAGATAAAAGCGTACCTCTTACGGGAAACAAGGCTGGTTGGTAAACAAGAAAACTGTACGCAGCTTGATGAAGAAGACGAAGGAAGAAACGGGAACAATCAACGCTTAATGAGATGTTAAAGCAAAAGATGCGAATATTCAAAATAGAATTTCCTTCCATTTATTGAAAAAAAAATGGTTAAATCAAGAATCCATAATTCTAATTTCTACATTATTGAGTTATATAATATAATATTATAATAACAAAAAAACGAAAAAAAATGGTTAAGTCAAGAATCCACAATTCCACATTATTGAGTTATATGATATAATATTATAATAACAAAAAATCAAAAACTTGACAATGATGCATCACAAGATATATTTTTTTTTTTTTAAATTCATTCCTTAATATAAAAAATTAAAAGTATAATATTATACTAAATAAACAAAAAGATGGTATATAAATAAATACAATTATATTGCTATTTTATATATTTAAGTATTTATCTATTTATTTGCTAAATTTAAATTGAAAAGAAATCGTGTTAATATTTGAGTTTTTATTAGGGGTATGTTTGGTGCGGTTTAAAGTCAAATCGCATATGCGGTTTGAGTTTTTTTGAAACTGCAAACCGCACCTTAGAAGTTCAAAACTGCGTTATGCGGTGCTGTTTGTACGATTTAAGTGCGGTTTGATGAGTTGCTACATTTTACAACTTTTGAAAAATTTAAAAAATATTTTGATTTTTTGAGATATAAAACTATAAACTAGAAATTTTTTGCAAAAAACTCAAAAACAAGTTGGTTTCTGTACCAAAAAAAAAGTTCTAAACCGCATTATACGGTGCGGACGATTTGTTCGGTTTAGTGCACACCCCTATTTTTTATAGCTCATGATATGTGTGTGATTGAATGACACGGAGAGGTCAATTCAAGTAAAAAAGAAAAATTGTTCACGAGCTCACTGATGTTTAATTTTGTCAAAGATTATATCCGGCTTTCAGTGTCGATCCAAACATATATGAGGTCTGGGGCGAAAGATTTCCTTATGTTGATTGTGCATTTATATAATTTGGTCGAAAGATCAGTGTGTCCTACAACTCCATTGCAAAAGAGAACCAAAGATAATAAAGAGAACGTGTGAAAAAAAGGACTAAGAGATAGACAAATATTAGGGATAAAAGCATAATACATTGCACCTATTTGTGAAATTTTTATGATTGTTATCTACCAAAGGGTTTTCAAAAGAAAAGGATAAAGAGTTTTGTTTTGGACAAGATTCAATAAAGAGTTTTATGGTTTAAGACGTTTTACTTACGATTAAGGATGTGTTTAAGATTTCAGGGTCAAGCGTCTAAATGGAAAAAATGATATTTATACTTTAAATGTTTTAAGAGTATTATTACTTAAGAGTTCAAAAGATTTAAAATGTTTTATGATTAAAGGATATTTAAAGATTTAAAATATCTTTAAGATATAAGGTGTTTTAAATAGCTTGATCATTTTAAATATTTATGACGTTTGAAAGAGTATGATTGAGTTAAATGTTATTCAATTTCAAAATCTAAAGATTTAATAGTTTTCACACGATTTTGGGAATTTTTCATTATCAAGGGATTATGTTATTCCTTTTTACTTTAAAGATGTGAAATTTTGTTGTTATTCACTAGGCGTTCACAATGCCTAACAGATATTTTGATATGTATTCATGTAACTTAGTGATTGGAGTCGTCAAAGAAATTTGGAGATTCAAGAAGGTGACATCTATGTAGTGGACTAGTGGTATGCTTAGCTTATCGTATGATATGATGATTATTATCTTCTTTTAAGCTTATTAATTATGAATCTTTTGACAAGAAACACTATAAGAGAGTTTTTGCACAAAAATGATATTTTCTTTTATAAAATGAATTTCAAATGAATATATGCTGATAAAATGAATATTGGTGTTTCAATTTGAATTTCATAATAAAATAGTAAGAAATTTAAAAATTCAATGATATTTATAATAGGTACAAGTTTACTTAAATACAATTATTCATTCAAAAGAGAAGCTCAAACATAACCGTGACTTATGTAAACATGTTTTTTTATGGGAAAAAGATGCACAATAAAGTAAACACAAAAACTAGAGGTTTTTTTTTTTTTTTTTTAATGAGAAGTGATATTTACATTTAATAATTGATTTATTCAGTTGAAATGTATATTTATTAACTTGAACGATAATTACAAATGTTTTGTACTTCACGTGGACAAATGGATTTATTAAGTGGACCATTTTTTAACCCTTTGACCATTAAATGATAAAATGCTAAGAAAATAAGATTTTTGAATCCTTTGATTATTAGTAAACTAGGTTATAACCCGTGTGTTACACGGTTGATATAAGTATTTTATATGATAAGACACAAAATGTATTTAATAATACAACTACAAACAAAAAATTCTATATAATATTTCATGCAACTATGGACGGAAATATTAATCGTTTTAAATTTTCATAATTTTTGGTTTGAATATTAGCCCTTTTATAATGCAATCTGATACTATTTTATTTAAAGGAAGGATTAACGGTTTTAAAATTTTAAAAATATTATAAAAACACTGTAGATTATGCTTGTATATTTGCAGAAATATTTGACATTTCGATTGAATCAAAAAATAGTGTACTATATTATAAAATAAGCAATTTTCAAAAGATGAAAAAAAAACATGATGTTGATTTTTTATAAGCAATGGATGTTAGTAACAGTTGATGTTGGTCTTATTGACTTGGTTTAAATATCACCAGGTAAGAAATCAATTTATGCTCATGAGCCTTGTTACACAAATTTTGCAAGTTGATATAATCTAAAATGGCAAAAAGTCTACTGTCACCACAACTCATAAACAAATACGTGTATCATGGACAAATATCCCTTATTTTAGACAAATTTTGCTTAAAATCATGAAATTTTGAAGAAATAACTTATCTGGTTAGGCAAATTTTGCTATGAGTTTGAGTATTCTTTCATTAAAAGGTTCATTTGATGACTTATAATATGTTATTTTTGTCCTTTTTCAAGGCTGGACCAAAATGCCCCTGGTGCCATCTTGTTTAATTTTGGGGTTATGGTTGTTGTTGTTGTTTCTCTATTATTTATGTTGGATTTTAGAGTACCGTTTAACCTTCTATTTGTGGGCTGACATATGGAAGTCCTCCTCTTTTTGGTCCAAATGTTGACCATTTATAATATCAAAAAAGCACCATGAGGAAACTACGTTATTATTAGAGGTAAAGTATGTCAAATATGGTAATTATCACGTTTCACATATATGACATTTGCACAGTACAAACAGACATAACAACAAACAAAGATAGATATTGTGAAAGAGTTATCCATATGTACAATTGTTTATAGCAAAAAGTACACACAACCCAATAACTTCAGTTATAGTGTAACCAATTAAGTTTACCATTATACCCCCATTCCTATTTTGTTCCTGACTTTTATGTATTTAGAGATTCTCTTTCCTTTCCTACACCTTTTATTAATCAAACACCGTAACATCTTTCCTTTCCAGCTTGTTTTTTTGAGGAACTTTCTAAACGAAACCATAAATCGTTAAGAATAGGACTTACTTTGGTATGAGAGCAGGAGTAGAAAATTTTATCCTTAAAAGAGCCAAAACGCATAAGTCATGTATGGAGGCAATGATGGGTAAAAGAAAAAAAAAATTAACAAATTGGGGCATAATTCATGAAACATTTACATTAAATAACACTACAACGAATGAGATGTTACCCACGAGGAGCAGAATCGTTATCAGCCAAAAATCAGATTTTTTTTTGAATCATTGTGGTGACCTGGAACTGATTCTTCTGCTAAAAAAGAGATCTTCGTATCTGCACTTGTTCCTTTATATCCCTACATTCGATATTATATCAAATTAGAATAGATTGAATAATGGATGCACATAATAAGCCGACGAAAACTTCAAATTCCACATGTTAAACTTAAAGCCAAAATATGTAGCTAA